CTCGGAGATCACGTCCCAAATTATCCGAAAGGTCCAAGATGGAAAACTATAGGCACAAATCACAAAAAACCACATGGCAGACTCCAATTTTGGACATGCTGGTTGGACAGCTCAGTGGGTTAGGTACCCAACCGTGGAGCCAGAGGCTGCGAGTTCAATTCCCTCCCTGTGCTCCGTGGGAGAAAAGCCATCCTCTGTGGCCTTGGGCCAACTGCAACAGTCCCAGGATTCGGCCAGAAGAAGAGAATGGTAAACCATTTCTGAGTCTTCTCTACCCAAAAAAAACCCCTGAAAAGAGTCACCATACCTCAGAACTTTGATTTGACGGCACACAATTGTTTTGACGGCACACAACTGTTATTATTACGACAACAGCAGCCTTTGGAATAAGCTCACACAAATCAGTGGTGACCTTTAACGGCTAAAATCCTGTTGGGATTTTATGTCGGTGTAACCGAAACCAGCATAAACTCTTGGAGGCTAACGGCCTCAAGTTTAAAAAATGACAACAGAGTTTACCTGTTGTGCGCTGATTCGCACAACTCAACTCAACATGTCCATGGAGATTTCTTAAATCAAGGCAACTCGCTTCTGGAGGAGACCCCATTTCCATTTCCACTTGTAGGTACACCTAGGATGCAAAAGCAGGGCTGGGAGACATGCGCCCTTTAAGGCTTTGTTCAACTACAATTCCCACCATCCTTAGCAAACACAGCCAAAGGCAAAGCGGATGGGAGTGGCCTTCACCAACATCTGGAAGATCACACAGTACCCAGCCTTGGCTTAACGACAACCCGTATTTCAAAGGTATTGTGTGAAATCCCCCTTAAATATCGCCTGGAAACCACCCTTCGAAAGCATCGCTCTCCACCGAGGCGGACATCACGATTCTGAATGTTTTATCCCGTCCAATCAATTACAATCAAAAACAGGAATATGCATGAAGTCGCTCTTCAAGAAGGGTCTCGGCAGATCGGCTGCTCTCCGCAAGACATGTCAAGGAAGAACCTGTCAGTTCGGTAGAGCAGGAGCAATCCAAAAGCATCAAGTCCACAAACAAGCCAGAGGATGATAAACTTTAGCATCATGTTAAGGGCTTGTCAGCCGGCGTTAAATTGTTGCATCAATAAAACATGCATTCCAAAGGATGACAGGAATAATGAGAAAGGGGAAATCCTACTTCCTTCACTCAGTGCAGGATATTTCCCCCCTTAAGGCTGTTACATGTAGCCTGTATCCTAATACATTTACACCAGCAGCCTGTTGCACAGGTCCGCTTGTGCAACAACAGTGACGTCACGGGTAGCGACGGATTGCTGTTAATAAATGAGTTCCTTTTCAGAGCGCACGCAACTTACAATGATACAAAGCTGTATATACTCTGAAATAAAAGAAGGGACTCTTTATTTAGTGGCTGACAACAACAAAAGGGCTGGAAAGCACAGTAGTTTCAGCATCTCATTGCAGACCCAGAGGCTGGGAGTTCAATTCCCCCACTATGCTTCCTTCCTAGGAGCTCGACGCAGTGATCCATAGGGGCCCCTTCCAACTCTACAGTTCTACGATAATACAGTAGTGATGATCGTGATTTCCACTGTGCATGCAGAAACATATAATAGAATACAGTGGTGCCTCGCTAGACAGATACCCCGCATGACAGTTTTTTCGCTAGACGTTGACTTTTTGCGATCGCTATAGCGATTCGCAAAACAGTGATTCCTGTGGGAGAATTTCGCTGGACAATGTTTGGTCCCTGCTTCGCAAACTGATTTTCGCTAGACAACGATTTTGACAGCTCCCTCCGTGCTTGCAAAACGGGTGTTTTCGGGACCCTAAGCTTTGCAAGACAGCGAATTAAAACAGCTGATCGGCGGTTCGCAAAGCGGCTTTCCTATGGCCAATCTTCGCTAGACAACGACGATTCTTCCCCATTGGAGTGCATTAAACAGGTTTCAATGCATTCCAATGGGGAAATGCTTTTCGCTAGACGATGATTTCGCTAAACAGCGATTTCAGTGGAACAGATTATCGTCGTCTAGTGAGGCACCACTGTACTAACATTTGGGTGCTTCAGGAATGCCTGAGACCTAAATGAATTTGTATGGGGATTGTTCTTCCAGAAATATGGCTGTCAGCCCGTGGTTCCCAACACTGGGTCTGCAGATGTTCTTGGACTACAACTCCCAGAAATCCTGACCAGCCCAGCGAGTGGTGAAGCCTTCTGGGAGTTGTAGTCCAAGAACATTCATGGACCCAAGGTTGGGAACCATTGGCGTAGGGCAATATATAAATGGCTGAGATAGTTTAAGCCATCACTCTTGAGTGGGAGTTGTAGTCTCACTCCACGTGCAAGGATGCATGCTCCCCCCAATTCTAAATACACAGCTAACGTATTCCACTTGCACGCCAAGTGGAAACTAACTTATAATGACTAACAGAGCTTTCAAGGTAAGGGAGAGATCCGAGGAGTGGTTTTACCAGTTTCACAACCCTGGTAAATTTTGAAGGCAGAGTGGGAATTCGAAACCCAGCTCCCTTGAGTTCTAGCCTATCACTCTCTCCATCTTGCCACACGAGGTATTCCATGCAGCTAATAGCCAGGGTTAATATTCTGACTGTCCCCTTCGGCACCATCTACATTTCAGTATGCCCACTGAGATTACTGTATTTTTTCATGTATAAGACTATACTTTTGTCTAAAAACTTTAGAATAAAAATTGAGGGTCGTCTTATACACACAGAAGTAAGCAGTGGAGAGAAAATAAACAAGTGGAGGGGAAAGCAGGGATCAAAGCGATCCTGCAGCGCTTTGATCCCTTTCCCCCTACACTTGCTAAGCCCGACTTAGATTTCTTAAGTTTGGGTTAGAAAAGTAGGGGCGTCTTATACACGAAAAATACGGTACCATTGCTGTTACATGCCACCAAGTTGCTTCCCAGTTATGGTGACCCCTCACAGGGTTTGCGAGGTGTGTGAGATGATCAAGGATCAACTTACCATTGCCACCCTCCACCATGTTCCCATGCCCAAGTGTGGATTTGAACCCAGGTCTCCTAGGATCTGGTCTGACACTTTATCCACTAGCTACGCCACACTGGCTCTCAACACTCTAACGAGGTGTACTGCGCATACACCCCAATTCAGGGATCAGCAGTCTCTGCATTTCGTAATATGGGCTACAGTTTGCAAAATGCAAAAAAATAAAAAAATAAAAATAATGAGACACTAAATTTGCTAGTTTTCCAGGTGGGCTTGAGAAACTTTTAAGGTAAATGAATCTATCGCTGTCTTGAAACTAGGACGACTTTCTGGGCCTACCACTGCCAAAACGCCATCGCCAGAACAGCCCCGAAGCTTCCTAGCTAGAGAATTTTGGGATCTGTAATCCAAATAACTATATTTTAAAAGGAAGAAGCCTGGTACATACACTGGGCTGTAATTTTTGGAGCTCCTGTTTCTTCTGTACCAGCTCCGGCCCTGCAATGTGTGGCTTGAGGAAGGATCCTGTCACCTTCCACAGGATGGCTTCTGCTTAGGAAATTTAGCGGTCTGATGAGAGTAACTTTTTAAAGTGTTGCCCATAAGTGAGCAGTAAACAGGAGGAATGCATTGGTTTCCCACAGCATTGTTTATCAACAGCTTTTAACACGGAGTTGTTCATTTTGAAACACATTATTTGCAACCCCTCCCTTTAGGGCATCACAAATCATGTGTTGTTCTTGACAACAAACGAAAACAAGCAAGCAGCCCCAGGCATTTCCAAACCGCCTGGAAAAGTTCCTTTTTTTGGCCCCGGCCTCCTGGGATTTGCAGCTGGCCTGGGAGTTAAAAAATCCCAAATTGGGGGGGATTCTTTGGGAACCAAAGTGCAATTCACACACACACACATACTCCAACTCCCATGGCAAACCAGCCACGCTGCATTTGTGTGCAAAGGGAGAGAAACGCCCAGAGGGTCAGGATCCTGGCATGTAAATCCACCCAGAGGAGAGCCCCTTGCAAAAGGCAGCCTGATGCCGATCCACCAACCAGCTCTCTCGGCGGCAGCAACAGCACACCCGGGGAGGAGGTGCTCCCGCCGGGGAGGGCTGGGCTTTCCTCCGCCCTCGACTACCGGTTGCAAAGGAGAGAGGAAAAAAGAGAGATATCCAAAAAACGCACGGGGATCGGCAACTTGAGGGGGGGGATTCTTTGGGAACCAAACTGCAATTCACACACACACACACACACCCCAACTCCCATTGCAAACCAGCCCAAATGGCCCTCAAGTAACGCTGGAAAAGGCAGTAGGAAAAGAGGTAGATCTCTCACGTGAGATGGGCTGACTCAGTAAAAGCACCCACAGCCTTGAGTTTGCAAGACCTGGGCAGGGCTATCCGTGACAGGAGGCCCTTTGGTGGTCACGGGGTCTC